TCTCAATCTTCCTCCTCAGGAACAGGGAGTACAAGGATGAGCCACTGAGTCCAGTCCTGACCTTTGTTTAATTCAAACTCATGTTTTATCAGATGCATTTTTCTCAGTCTTTACAACAGTCTGGAAGAACCCACTTTATACATAGACAATGAGGCTCAGGGAAGGGAGTGAGGAAAAAATTTAAGATCACACACCTGGGAAATGACCCCTGGGAAATACAAATTCATCTTGGTCTGATTCTAAAAGTCCAGTTCAAAACTACTGTGTAGTTATTGCCTATCAATGAAATGGAGGCCTTGAAGATAGAACTAATTCATCTGCAAGATAAGCTTTCTAACAAGTTCATGCAAATCTAATATGCTCTGTAAAGTTAGTTTAATTGACAAAATACTGGTGTCTGGATAGAATAGAATAAATAAAACCCAGGGAACATACAGTTTGATAGAGCTCATGTTCACCATTAAAAGCAATGTGTGCTGGGTGCTGGTGGCTTGCACATATAATTCTAGTTACTCGGGAGGCTGAGATCTGAGAATCCCAGTTCAAAGGCAGCCCAGTCAGGAAAGTCTGTGAGACTCTCACCCCCAATTAATCACAGAAAAAGCTGGAAGTAGTGCTGTAGCACAAGTGGTAGAGGGCTAGCCTTGAGCAAAAGAGCTTTGGGACAGGGCTCAGGTCCTGAGTTCAAGGCCCAGGACTGGAACAAAATGAAAAGCAATGTCTGTGGAGATGGAGAGAAAAACTTGGAGAGAGGGAGGAAAGAGGTGACAGTGTTCAAAAAGAAGCATACTCTTTATATTATGACTGATGTAACTGTAACCTCTCTATTCATCACCTTCATAATAATGATAAAACTTTTTAAAGAAATGTCTTTGGTCTCTATCTTTCCCCCCCTTAAACTTTTTTCAATTTCTTTTTTGAGATGGACTGTCACTGTCACTGTGTTGCCATGACAAATCTCAAACATCTGGACTCTGGCCATCCTCCCACCTCAGCCTTCTCTAGAATCTCGGTGTACAGGTGTGCATCACCTGCTAAGCCAGGTGGCTTTTCTTGCCATTCCTGACACTGAAGTCTGCACATGAGGGACGGAAGCAAGATTGGGGGAGATGTCCTCTTTTTGTGGTAACCTGCTCCCTGAATGCCAGCTGAATATGAAAAGCATTCCAGTTTCTCCAGAAGGCCCTGGCCCGGTTCATTGCAGTTGCAGGGAGCACAGGGAGGTTGGGAAGAAGCACATGCAGTGATCTCAGTGGCCAGAGCTGCTAGAAAATAAAGTGCTGGAGGCAGGCACAGGGCCTGAGAACCAGAATTCAGCAGGAGAGGAAGACCACCGAGGGCCCCAAGCAGAAGAGCAGCAGCTACAGCCACAGGCAGCCAGGAGCCTATAGGGTAGCAACCCACCGAGTGCTCCTTAATCCTCCACGACCTGGAGCAACTCAATAATGGAGACCAGACCATGCACCTGAGACCTGGAGCAGGGGACCTGTTTCCTTCCACTGGCAACATATTCCCAAGGTTCTATTTAGCCAAGGTTGTTATTGGGCTTGTGCAAGGAAGTAAGGTATAAACTTCAACGTGCGACAATATTTTGTAAACAAGTGGTAGGTAACCTTCTTATTCTGGGAAGGAGAGCTAAACAGCCTTAGGCTACCCTTAGGCTCCCACGCAGTTTAGGATGGAATTTAAGACAGGACTGATTGACCTTTCCAGGAAAACTCGCAGCCTTCCGAGATTGTATTGGGAGAAGGCATTCCAACTCCCAATCCTTCCATGGTCTCACCGCTTGGATTTTTGGGCTCTCACAGTGCTCCTCTCAGGACCCTGGGTCCGGTGAGCGCTGTTTCCTACCAGAGATCACACTAGGCACATGTGCACCATAGTGCTCTCCTTAGGACCCAGAGGTACATGAGTGCTGCTTCCAGCCAGACAGCTCTCTAGTCATGCACACCTTCCTCCTCCTCTCAGAACCCAGGGGTGCAGTGAGCACTGATTCACACGATTGTGCTCTAGGCAGGCCCACCCTCCTCAGGACCTGTGGGTGCAGGGAACACTGTTTCCAACTGGAGAGCACTACAGGGGTGGGGCAAGAACAAGGAAGTGAACAGTCAAGGGGCGGGGTTTGTGAAGAGCAGAGCATAGGAGGAGTGTGGCAAGAGAGTGGACATGAGGGGCCCAGGGGCGGGGCTTGTGGGAGGAACCGAGTACAAGAGGGGTGGGGCAAGAACATGGAAGAGAGGGGTCCTGGGGCAGGACTTGTGGAAGGCGGAGCACAGGAGAGGCGAGGCAAGAGTGAATAGTCAGGGGCAGCGCCTGTGGGGGGATAGTAGAGGAGAGGGTCAGACAAGAGCCAGGAAGTGGGGAGGGGTGAGGGCAGGGCAAGAGAGCTGTTTGGCAAAAGCATGGAAGTGAGTGGTCCAGGGGTGGGGATTGTGTGGGGGATAAAGCACCAGAGGGATGCAGTTAGAGAGGGAGTGGGAAGTGAGCGGTCCAGGGGTGGGGCTTGTGGGTGGGCAGAGCATAGAATGGTAGGGGCAAGAGCATGGAAATGGGGTCAAGGAGCATAGCCAGGAGCAGGCCTGGTGTGGGTCAGTTCTGCTTGGGCCAAACAGACCAACAAGATGCTCTGGCACAGGCTTCTTCCTGTGGAGGGCGTGTGGTTGGGTGAGGGCCTACAACACTGGACAGATGCACTTTGGTCTCACTTCTGTACTCTGGTCCTGCCAAGCACAGACAGCTTTTCTTTGTGGGACAATGCCTGGGGTAATGCTGGCTCTATACAAATGTGGCTTGTTTGTGAAGAGTGGCTGACTCAAGTGTCTACGCTGACCTTGAGGCAACTCTTAAAGACAAGCAGAGTGAAGTGGCGCTTCCTGCCAGGGACCAGGACACAGGTGTGGCATGGCTGAGGAGGCTTGTGGAGAAGCACAGCCTGCCTCTTCCTGTTTGTCATTTATGCCCTTCCTGAGGTGGTTTCCATGAGGCTAGGCCCCAAACCAGGCCTCTGGAGCCCACTCCCAGTCAGCTTTTAGCTGGTGCTTTCAGTCTTGGCAGGCCCTGGGCATGGGTGTGCGGTGGCTGAGGGAGTGTGTGCTGAACTGGGGCTTGAGTCTTCCTTCTTGGTAACTTTTGCTGTACCTGAAGTGGTTTTGGTGAGTTAGGCCCCAAAACAGGCTACTGTGCCAGATCCGAGTCTAGGCCTCATCTGTGCCCCAGCCCAGCTCAGCATCCAGGCCTCTCCCTTGTCAAGGCCACCTCCTAGTTTATTACTGCTCTGAGTCGGAACCAGCCATGACTCCATATAGTCCAGGCCAGCTCACAGTCTGAGCTTTCCTCAAGTCCAGACTAGCCCTGGATCTGGGCTAGCTCCTCCTCCGAGCCCACCCCAAGTCCATTCCAGCTCTGAGTCTGGACCTGCTCTAACTCCACACCTCTGAGTCTGGGATAATCACAAGTCTGGGCCGACTGGGAGTCTAGGCCAGCCACAAATCTGGACCTTCCCTGAGCCTGGGCCACCCTTAGCCCACACCAGTTCCAGGTCAAGGCCTGCCTTTGGTCTGTGCCAGCTCTGCTGACAGGCCTTTCCTGAACCTGTGAAGATTCTGAGTTTGGGCCTACCCATTGTCTGCAGCAGCTCCGAGTTTGGGCCAGCTCTACATTCTGTCCAGTTTCTAGTCTGTGTCAGCTTGAAATCTGGGCCTATTCCCAGTCTGTTCAGAGCCTTCAGCTATGTTGTCATGTCTCTAGCAGGGTTTGGTGGTTGGGAAAATTGTGTAAGACATTCACTTACCAGTATTGAGGTCTTATCCACATTTTACTAGTCATACTAAGGTAATTTGTCTAGATTTTGGAGTATGCCTCCCCAGCCAGGAAAACAGCTTTATGCTGAGCCATGTCCCCTGTTGGTCTCAGTAGACCATCACTGCCTCAGGCCTGGCATGATCTGTCTCATTAGGAGCTGTGTTGGGGTAGCAGTAGGCAGGAGCAGAAAGTGTGGTATAGATGCCTTTTTCTTGTTTTGTCATTTGTCAGCCATACTCCAGATCCTTCTGAGCAGAAGAAAGGCTCTGGGAACAGTCCAGAAGCTTGGAATCCTAAGTGTAAGATCTAGGTGTACAGTCTAATGTGGGATGGGCTGGGTAGACCCCAGCAAATCTTACTTTGCAGAACATAAACCCCAACCAGGTCTTGCATAGGGCCTGGGGGTTAGGGTAGAGGGGATGTGTAGAAAATATTTGTTTTTTTTTTCTAGATGCAAGTGGCTTATGCCTGTAATCCTAGCTACTTAGGAGGCCAAGATCTGAGGATTGTAGTTTGAACCTAGTCCAGGTAGGAATGTCCTTGAGGCTCTTTATCTCCAATAATCACCAAAAAGAAAACTCCTAGAAGTAGAGCTGTGGCTTAATAGAGCACTAGCCTTGAACAAAAACAGCTCCAGGAGAGTGCCCAGATCCTGAGTTCAAGCCCAGGACCAGCACAAAAGGGGAGGGGAGGCTGGGAATATTAGGCAGTTTTGTGACTGTTTCTGTTTTGTCCTTCCCCTGTCAGCTATGCAAGGCCCACTTACCTGCAGAGCAGTTCCAGCATGCCCACTCTTGGTTGCGTGTTGATTTCCTCTGACTGTAAGTACTCTGAGGGCAAAATGTGCAGAGTATCAGAAGAAAATGTGGAGTTCAGGAGCTGGGAAGGTGGCTCAGTGGTAGAGCGCTTGCCTTGCATGCATGAGGCCCTGGGTTCGATTCCTCAGCACCACATAAGCAAAAAGAAAAAAAGCCAGAAGTGGCGCTGTGGCTCAAGTGGTAGAGTGCTAGCCTTGAGCTGAAGAGCTGAGGGACAGCACCCAGGCCCAGAGTTCAGGCCCTATGACCGAACCCTCCCCCCCCCCAAAAAAAAAGAAAATGTGGAGTCCAGCCACTTGGAATTGTGAGTGTAGAATCTGGGTGCATGGCCCAATGTAGAAGTGGCTTGACTGACACCCCTCCCCCGAACTTACTTTCACAGACTCACTCCCTACTTAGGTCTCCAGCTTCATCTGTAAGTCTATACCAAGTTTTGATCTGTGCTTTCAGTCACGCTCATCCCAGAGCCTGGAGAAGGAAATGAACATATGTGTGAGGCACGGCAGCCTCACACATTCCTGCTTGTTAAGTTGATACCTGTCAGAACAACTTTAGCCGCTCTAGGCCCATCCCAGGCTGGTATTCTTAGCTCTGAGTCTCCACTGAGCTTTTGGCTATGTCCTGTTTAGGGCATGGTGGGTAGGGGGTGAGGGGCTGTGTGACACATGTTTATGTTTTTATTATTTTTTTTTTGGTCAGTTATGGGGCCTGAACTCTGGGCCTGGGCGCTGTCCCTTAGCTCTTCAGCTCAAGGGTAGCACTCTACCACTTGAGCCATTCTGGCTTTTTCTGCTTATGTGGTGCTGAGGAATCGAACCCAGGGCCTCATGCATGCAAGGCAAGCACTGAGCCACCTTCCCAGCCCATGTTTATGTTTTTATTATGTGCATCTTAAAGACATCAGGCATTCCCCCAAGGTATTTCAATGTGCTTGGGTGAATTCCAGTGGTATTCTGTTCAGGGCTCTACACAGGCTAGGGCAGCACCTCAACACTAAGCCCTCCATTTTATGCCTCAGAAGCTGATCAGTTCCTGTAGACTAGGATCTTGTCAGCTTTCTAATAAGGATCTTTGGAGGGAAGCAGAAGGCATAACCTAGTTTCTTTCCTTCCCTGTCAGACCTACCAGGTCTGGCTTCTCTGCAGCAAGGCTCCTGGATGCCTAGTCTTTGTTGCCTGTTGCCTCTGCCTATAGACATTTTGAGGAGAAAATGTACCAAGTGCCAGGAGACAACATGGAGAGTCCAGAAGCTTTGAATTGTGGGTGTAGAATCTGGGTGTACAGCTCAAAGTTTGCTTTGGCAGACTGAGGTCCAACTTAGGCCTCCATCATCTGTGCTTTTGGAATCTGGAGAAGGGGTGAAGGCATTTGGGAGGAAGGGAGGCCTACCCCTTCCTGCTTGGTAAGTTGTTACCTGTCAGAACAACTTTGATCACTCTAGGCCCCAACCCTGCCCTCTATCTTCAGCTCTGAGCTAACTTAAATTCATATATTGATTGTGTACCTAACACATTCAGCAACTCTGATCCACTCCCCAAAGCTATGGGAGAATTAGGCTTAAGGAATAGGGTTGTTGAGGAATTGAGTAAAGGCGTAGGGTTGTTGATATTAAGGGCAGAGTTAAATTTGGGTATTTGTAGGGCTACTCAGGATGGAAGGGTTTCCCCTTAGCCTTACATAGCAGGTTAGTGTTAGGAAGTAAGTTAGGGTTAGGGTCAGTGCTATGGAAAGATAGTGGATTATGGTTAGCGTATATGTAAGGATTAGGGTTAGGGATCTGGTGAGGTTAGGAGTTGCAGAAGGGTTAGTCAGCATTTGGATTATGGAATAGGTCAGGGTTAGGGTTAGGGTTAGGGAAGGGCATAGAGGGAACATGATAGACAAAGGGTGAGATTGGGGACCCTGTTAGGGGAAATATTAGAATAAGTGTTTAGGAAAGGTTCAGGGTTAGGGAACAAGTAAGGAAGAACTTTGTGGTATGGGTTATGCGTTATGGATGTTTTATAGAGAGTGGTTTTTGAAGTAGATTATAGAGCAGGTGAAGATTGGATGACTTGTTAGGGAAGGGGTAAGGATAAAGGTTAGGCATTGTGTTAGGTTTGGGGAGTGGGTTAGGATTGCTGAACATGTTAAGCAGTTTTGTATGGATTTGAGTTAGTGAACAGCTAAAGATTAGTGAGTGGCTTAGGATATGTGTTAGGGTATGACATGTTAGGGTATGAGTATGGCTCAGGTAGAGTGTATGTTGGGGTACACGTTAGGGCTCATGTTAGGATTCATATTGGAGTTAGGGTATGTGTTGGGACATGTTTGGGGTACATGTTAGGTACCTGTGTGGTTTAGCCTTAGGGTACTTGTTAAGTACATGTTAGTGGTGAGAGTACATGTTAGGGTTAGGATATGTACGTGTTAAAGTATGTTTAGGGGATATGTTAGGGTACCTGTATGGTTTAGAGTATGTGTTAGGGTACTTGTTATCATACACGTTAGTGGTGAGAGTAGATGCTAGGGTTAGGATATGTATGTGTTGGGGTACATGTTAGGATGCATGTATGGTTTAGAGTATGTGTTAGCATACTTGTTACCTTATGCATTAAGATTTAGAGTACATGTTAGAGTATGTGTTTTGATATGTTTAAGGTTAGGGTATGTGTTAGAGAATGTGTTAGGGTTTGGGTTAAGATTGGGGCACTGTTAGGGTATATGTTGGGGTACATTAAGGGACATGTTAGTGAGCATGTAAGGTTTAGAGTATATGTTCAGGTACTTGTTGCTGTACATGTTAGTGTACATGTTAGGATACATGTTGAGTGTGAGGCTGTGTGTTAGGGTTAAGTTATGTTAGGGTTGGGACATGTGTGAGGGTACAGTTTAGAGTTAAGCCATGTGTTATGGGATGGTTCAGTACATATGAGGTACTTGTTAGGGTGCATGTGAGGTTTAGAGTACATGGTAGTAGTTAATATATATTTTAAATACGTGTTAGGGTATTTGTTAGGATTTGGCTTAGAGTCAGAGTACATGTTAATATAAGTATAACTATGTTTTGAGTACTTGTTAGGGTTCATGTAAAGTTTGGAGCACATGGTTGTGTTAGGGTACATCTTAGGATACATGTTATGGTTTGGGTACATGGTTAAGCTTTGGCTTAGGGTACATGTTAGGGTAATATAGCTGTGTAGTTTAGAGTATATATGACTGTACTTGTGATGGTACTTGCTATATTTAGAGTATGTGTTAGAAGAGTGCATGTTGTTAGGATATGTGTTAGAGTAGGTATGTGTTAGGATGTGATGGTTAATTGGGGGTACATGTACAGGTACCTGTTTGGCTTAGAGTACTTGTTAGGATACTTGCTAGGGTACATTATTGTTTAGAGTATATGCTAGGATTCGTATTAGGGTACATGTATGTTTAAGAGTACATGTTAGTGTACTTGTTAGGATATGTGTTAATGGTGAGAGTATGTGTTAGGGTACATGTTTGGGTACCCATTATATGTTAGGCATATGGTAAGGTATGGGTTAGGGCAATGTTAGGGTATACTAGGGTACATGTTAGGATGTGTGTGTTAGAGTTCATGTTAGAGCATGTAGTATTTGGGGTACATGTAGTGTTCATGAATGGATACCTGTATGGCTTAGAGTGTGTGAAGGGTACTTGTTAGGGTTTGGGTACATGTTAGTGCTAAGGTACATGTTAGTGTTAGCACAAATGTTAGGCTATCTCTTAGGATTATGATTGGGGTTAGAGTTAGGGCATGTTAGTGCTCACGATTCCAAACCTGTATGGTTTAGCGTGTGTGTCAGGTTCGTCCAGTGGTCTTCAGCAGTCATGGGGTTGTCTTGTTCAGTCATTGCCCACTGTGCTTGATGGGCCCCATTCTCCCTAACTGTGGGTGAGACAGGAGATCAGAGTGAATGGTCAGCTGTGCTTCCACTCTGTCCACAGACCTGGCATGGGTACACATGCGAGGATATGGGTGGGGTTTGAGTGCTATGTATCTCTGTTTGGAAACTTGGACCCACCTTAAGCAGGTTTTGTTAGGGTTATGGTATGTGTTAGGGCACATGTTAGGGTATGTGTTAGGGTTAGGCTACATGTCAGCGTACATTCTAGGGTTTGATACATGTTAAGGTCTATGTTAGGTTAAGGTACTTGTTAGGGATGTGTTAGGGTCCATGTTAGGGATACATGTTAGGATTAGGGTACATGTTAAGGATGAGTGTTAGGGTTAGTATATGTGTTGAGGTACATGTTAGTGTATGTGTTCTGGTAAATGTTAGGGTAAGTGTTCGGGTTCTAGTACATATATGGTACATTTTAGGGTACATGTCAGGACACGTGTTATGGTCCATGTTAGTGTTAGGGATACATGGTAGAGTACGTGTTGGGGTACATGTTAGGCTAAGGGTATGTGTTAGGGTTAGGGAACTAATTAAAGTTAGGATTAGGGAACCTGTTAGAGTGGGAGTGAGGGAATGAGTGAGGGTTTGGGATGTGTTACAGTTAGGGTTAGGGTTATGGAATGTGTTCAGGAACGTGTTAGGGTTAAGGTTGCCAGTGCCCATTTGGGCAGTAGGGGTGGGGGCAGTGCATTACAGTGCATGCCAGCATCCGTGTGGACACTGGTGTGGGGCATGCGCTTGTGAGTGGACACTGGCGTTTGTGGGAGCAGCGGGTATGGGGGCAGTTTGGCTATGAGCAAATGCTGGCATCAATGTGGGCAGCGTGCTGTGAACTGAAGCTGGCACCCCAGTTGCTGCTCCTCAGACCCAAGTTATCTGCCAGCTGTTCTGACAGAACCTATGCCAGTATCAAAAATTGTAGTGCTGTGAGTGAATCCAGTGACTTCCACAGGTTCTTGCCTGTGTAATCCACTCCTAAAGCTTACGATTTGCTTTCTTCTGGAAAAATTCTTAGTGTTGGTTAATTGAGAATTTGTGAACATTTTTTCTAGATTAGAAAACTAAATCCTGAAATTTTTACTTTGGAGGTGTCATTGTACAGATCACCCATCTTTTTAGCTTAATTCTTGTTGGTGAATATTTTAAAATTATCTCATGTAATTTTTAGTGCACCCTTCATATTTGTCAATTCTACTCTATTCTGGTTAAACTAAGTGTTCCTAATACACTGTTTCTTGGTAATTTTTGAAAGAGAATATAGCTAAACAGCTTTGAAGGATCTGCTTACTATAAAAAGCATTAACATCATTATTCATCTGAGTGTTGAGCTTATGGGTTCATACCAACATTCTAGGTATAATATTCTTTCTTCTTTATGTTTAGCTTAATATTAGTTTTCTACTTACTGGTTTATGTTCCATAAGTAAAATTCAGACAGGAATCATGTTATTTACATGAATATACATAATTGGGGATTTTTGCATTATTCTCTATGGAGAGAGTTAATTCCATCATAAAAATATCATTCATCATATTCTCAATTAGAATGTGGATAATCTCAAACCTACCTGACACATTAGATATCTCATTCATTGGGCTAGGATCACAACCAATGCAACAGGCAACTCTGTCCTCTGGAGTATGTTTCCTGAAGCCAGGACCAGAACTTTTACTTGAGATAGACTGAGGACTATGAGGAAATGAGACATACGTTTTAATGGTTCCCCATATAATTAACACCTCAAAAATCCAGTATCTTAGAGATTTTTTTGCACTAAGAGTCAGAATTTTTCTCTAAATACATCTAATCTATTTATTGGATGCTGTTGTTTTTGTTTAGGTTTTGTTTTGCTCTGCCAGATCTGGAACTTGAAATAAGGACCTAGATGCAGTCCTTGAGTGTTTTTTCCCTTAAGGCTAGTGCTCTAACACTCAAGCCACAGCTCTGTTCTCAGTATTTTGATAGTTAATTGGTGATAAGAGTCTCACAGGCTTTCCTGTCTGGACTGTTCTCAAATTACCATCCTCAGAACTCAGCCTCCTAAGTAGCTAGAATTACAGGTATGAGCCACCAGTTCCCAGGTTATATTTTGGATATTACATCATCCTCAGAGTCCTATGTGTTAAATTCTGCTTGCCCAATCCACGTTATACTAGAAAGCTTAGTAGCTATTGAAATTGGAGTCTTATTAAGATAGGGAATTAGGTAACAACATAGAACTCAAAGGAACAAGTCAATTGACCATTGAGTAAAACCTAAATGTATTAAAATTAAACTTTCTTAAACTTTCTGCCTTTTAAAATGACTCTCTGGGCTGGGAAGGTGGCTCAGTGGTAGAGCGCTTGCCTTGCATGCCTGAGGCCCTGGTTGAATAAAACGCCATTTTGTCTTTATGAGATATTTCTCTTTCTCATGCGTATATTGATGGACATTGGTGCTGTTTCCAAAATTCAGCTTATGAGTAATATAATAAGCTTAGGTGTAAAGGGATCTTAAACATAAACTACATTTAATGCCTTTGGAAAAAATTTTGGTATCTGGAGTAGCTTTAATCAAGAGTTAGGGCATGCCTTTACTTTAGACTAACGCCACATTCATAAGCAATATCAAGTTGGAATTATGTTTATTATTTATTTCATCTCATCATATAATGAAAATAAATGACAATAATAATGCACTATAGCTGCATCAATTACAGAGAAACAAGCAATTATTTCTTCATTTTAAATATGCAACTGTTGTATTATACATTATATTAAATTTTGTTGCATCTGTTATCTTTCTAAATATAAATGTCAGCCACCAAAGATCACATGAACCATTAAGTGCCTGACAATTTTCCTAGTATTAATATATTGGATTTATGTGGCAGAATTGTTACAATTGATTTATTACTACCATATATTGTGTACATCACTGTGGGATAAAATGAATCAAGAGCTGAAAGACTTCACAAGAAAAACTACAAAGCCTTGAATAAAAATATAGGCTACATCAGAAGATGGACAATTTCCTGTGTTTGTGTCTGGACAGAAGGAAGGCATTAAAGGTCAACAATGAATTGATTTGAAGCTTTTATGAAATCACAACTTTGATACCTGTTTATCACAGTGGAATTAAATCTATTAATAAAAGTCTCACAAAAATTTGTGAAAATGCAAACTCTGGGTTGGTGTAAATGCCATAGGTGTAAAGGCAAATTAGAGTTCCCCTGTAGATAACCACAGGAAATGGTATACATTAAAAAGATTTTTTCCCTTCTATTTACATTGATACATAACTCAACTGAATAACATCAACACACTGAAAAGACAATGCAACCATGTTTATTAGAGCACATTAACACTAGCTAAATTTACATATTTTCATAGCAAAAACAGGTGAAGCATAAAGCAAAATATATACAGTGTGACTCTGTCTAAAGTTCATGTATCTCAACTGGCAGCCGTGGCTCACTTCTGTAATCCTAGCGACTCAAGAGGCTGAGATATGAGACACCAAGTTACAGCTCCTTAGCACTAATTTTGTTAAACTTTAAGTTAGTTTTCATGGGAATTATATCACTAAAACTATCTCCTGTATATACCGTGTTTTAATTAACATTTTAATATGTATATGCAAATTGGCTTGTGGAGATTTACATATGTATTTATAATTAGGATCTAATTTCCACATATCAGAGAAAACATGATCTTTGTAACCTCTGACAATGACTTACTTCTCTTAATGTAATTTTTCAACAGCCATTCATCTCTCTACAAATGACATAACATCTTTTTGCATGGATGTGTAAAACTCCAATATGTCCTTGTGGTCTACTTCCATGATGTGTCTATGGGGACATAGTGCATTAATGAATATGGTTGTGCCTTACTGTATCTTACTGTGTACATTTTATAACAGTTCCCCAAATAATAAATAACAAGGGTGTTCTGGATTAATTTTGTTGTGGAATCTCCAAACAAGCTTCTATAGTGGTGCAACTATATATGGGGCTTGCACTCTGGGCCTGAGCACTGTCCCTCAGCTCTTCAGCTCAAGGCTAGCGCTCTACCACTTGAGCCACAACGCCATTTCCAGGTTTCTGGTGGTTTATTGGAGATAAGAGTTTCTAGGCTTTTCCTGCTAAGGCTGGCTTTGAGATCTGATCGTCAGATCTCAGCCTCCTGAGTAGCTAAGATTACAGGCGTGAGCCACCAGCACCTGGCAAGTCATTTAATATTAAGATGGCTTTTTTTCTCCTAGAATGTCTTTTGCCCTGTATATCATACAAAGAATTTCTATCTGGCCTCAACAAGATGATGTAGCTTAGGGACAAAGATGTAGCCTAGTAGGCCAGCACTGGAAGCCAAGATGGAGAAGACCTGCATGGCCACCATGGTCTTCCCCTTGGTGCTGTGGTAGACAGGCAGGAAGGTGACCCAAACACTACAGAACACCAACATACTGAAGGTCAGAAACTCGGCCTCATTGAAGGTGTCAGGCAAGTTCCTGGCCAAGAAAGCCACAGCAAAGCTTGCCAGGGCCAGGGAGCCCAGGTATCGCAGGACACAATAGAAGGCGGTGTCTGAGCCTTTCTTGCATAGGATGATAATATGGCCATGTTCTGAGTGTGCATTGGTATCAACAAATGGAGGAGCAGTTCCCAACCAGATTCCAGAGAAAATGAGCTGGATCAGTGTACAGATGGGAATGATGAAGTTAGGCATTCCTGACACCAGCAACTGCTACATCCTATTCCCTACAGAAGTGTCAGAGAAGGCCAGAACCACAGTAATAGTTTCGGCCAAGATAGTGGAAACAGCCACAGTGAACACAACTCCAAACTTGGTCTACTGGAGGACATATGTGGTTGTGTTGGGATGTCCAATGAAGAGCAAGGAGCAAAGAAAGCAGCAGTTGAGGGAGATGAGCAAGATGTAGCTGAGAGCTCTGCTGTTGGCCTTGACAATGGGAGTGTTGTTGTGCTTTGTAAAAATCCTAATAACAGCAGTGGTAAGTGCAAAGAGGCAGAGAACTAAGCAGAAGAGTCATATCCAAAGGATCCCTAGAGTCCAGGAAGCTCTCAGATTTCAGCAGGCAGAGACTTTTCTCTGTGTTGGCATACTGATGATCTGGGCAACCCAAACACTGCTCCATGTCTGGCAAGGAGTGGGAGTTACCATCAGTTGTGCACTAGGAGCTTGCTTCCCAGCCCTTCCCCCAAAGAGGTTAATTTGTCGAGCATAACCAATCGCTCTTTGTTGTTTCTTTTTAAACCAAAGGTACAAATTCTATGAAGTGTTCAGTATTTTCTTTTCTCATGTTTTTGGTATTTTCAGGAAAGCATTATCCATCTTCAAATTGCCTAAAGATAAATCTTCACCTAATTAGCACACCCCATGTAATAATCTGTGCAATTCCTTCAGAAACCACATAGTTCATGAGAAATGCACACATTTTATTTTGGACATGAATGTGTAAATTCCAGAGAAATCAGGAACAATCAATAACCCTTATTATCTTCTCTGGATTTCCCCACCTCAATCACACATTGACCTTTTCAAAGCAAACATGGAGTTTGATGAATATTTCATTGACTCACTTCCCCAATTTTGGTAACAGTGACATTTTAAAATGTGAGCCTTCTCATTCAATACAGGCTTCATATTTACCCTTATTTCCAGCCTCTTAATTTTTTTACCTCATTTTCTAAAATATCTAACGTCTATTACTACAATAATATTTCATAGTTTATCAGGTATTAAATGACATTTCTCAAAAATATACTTAATGACTTAGGATTTTGAAGTACAAATAAATAATTTCTGACCCTTACACTCTTCAGTTTCTAGAAATTGAAGTATATATTCAAATATGTCTAGAATGTTCTAATAACAATAAAAATTATTGGCATACACCTTCCTTTCAAATTAATGTGCCCTTTCAATATGCTTTGTCCAAAATACTGCATTTTCCAGGATTGTAGCATAAAGTTGAGTTAAAGTGGTGCTCTTGAGTATTATTTTTGCTATGCAATACATTGTACCATATTACAGATAAAGTTTCAACATGTTATTTGTTGGAATGGATATCGTGTATATGGAAACTGGTCCACAAAACTTCACCAAAGCTTTTATCCCTCCTTCCTGCCGGCATTATTATCATTTGTGACATGTAAACGCCTACCTAATAAAAATTAGGCATACTATCTATTGTGGTTTGTTCCTATTATATACCATTGACTGAGAAATACAAAGAAGATATGCAGAGAGTCTTCAATACTTACACACTTCCTGTCCTGTTAGAAATCTCATTCTCAGGGCAAGGATACAATCAAAGCTGCAAGCCGACTTTCCCTCCTGTGGGGATTTTCTGAATCCAGGACCACAACTCTCACTGCAGACAGACTGAGAAGTATAAGGAAAACAGATTAGTGTTAATGACAGATAGGTTAGTTATAATTTATACACTCAAATTCTAGTGTTGTAGGCATTTTGATCATTCAGAATCAAAATTTCTGTATAGATGCATATATAAATATATATATATATATATCTGGATGATGTTATTTCAGGTATATCATACTCAAAGAAAATTGTCTTAAATACTTCCTCTGCACTTCTTAATGGAAAAAGTAGTCATTCTTCGTTTTTTTGTTTTTTTGGGGGGCG